GGAAACCTGCCCTTTCAGCTCTCTAGTCAGTCAGTTCAAATGGAAACTTTCCTCTGTCCCCCGGAGTGGTTTGTGTTTAGGAGTATGAGGTGTAGAAGAATAGAGTGGCTCCCCTTCTCTTTTGCGCAAAGCTTTTTTTTTTTTTTTTTTTTCTTTAATCAGGATGGATAGCCTAGCCATCTAGTCAGGGTTAGCACTATTGGTGTGTTGAATCGAATAATAAATTTTTTTTTCTTCGTTTGATTTGAATGCAATATTCCTGCTTCTTGGCAAAATGGGGTTGAACTGGATGGCCTATGAGGTCTCTTCCAACTCTATGATTCTATGAATTTCTCAGCCTTCCAGCATGACTCTGCCATCAACTTCAATTGAAAGTTGACCATAGGATACCATTAGAGCACCTTGTCATTCCTAAAGAGGTGTTCTCCGTAGAAATCTCTTGGTCCCTCTAGCACAGTGGTTCTCAACTTGGGGTCCCCAGATGTTTTGGGCCTTCAATTCCCAGAAATCCTAACAGCTGGTAAACTGGCTAGGATTTCTGGGAGTTGTAGGCCAAAAACATCTGGGGACCCCAGGTTGAGAACCACTGCTCTGGCATGACTGCAGGAAGTTGATCATCAAATCACACTGTAGGACCCTAGATAATCCTAGAGATAACATTTTAATAAAATATGTGAATAATCCAGTCTGCAGAATTCAAAATCGCAAATGTGGAGGAACGACTGTACCTCTTGTATGTACTTCAAAACAGAAACGCCATAGCAAATTCCCAAAGGAAATGAAAATAAAGAATATTGGCATGTTATATTTATATCTCTCGTTCTAAAGATACAAAACAGTGGAGCCTTGGGTTGCTGTGAGTTTTCCGTGCTGTATGGCTATGTTCCAGAAGCATATTGTGACCTCACAACCTCTGCGGATGCCTGCCATAGATGTGGGCAAAACGTCAGGAGAAAATGCTTCAGGGAAACTCACAACAACCCAGTGATTCTGGCCATGAAAGCCTTCGAGAGCACAGTGGAGCCTTGTCTATTGCTCAGTGCAGTCACAGTCCTTTGAGTGGCACTGTAATCCCACAAAATCCAAATGCCAGTCTAATTAAGTGACAGCTCCTGCCTTGTCTCTTAAGGAACCCTTGATTCCAGCGCTTTAAAAATAACAGCCAATTTATTCTGATAACCTAATTATCAAAATGCAAGGAATAACATTTGAAAATAGCTCATGGTAACAGAGCCATTCACCACAAACTCTGCATGGCTAATTTGGGGAATCATTTCCTGATTTTGAATCTAATAAATCTAGTACTCTGCTGCTGAGTACACATGCCCAGTGTGGAACACATCTCACCATGCTAATACGGTGGATGTGGCTCTTAATGAGACATGCGGCATTATCACAGGATGTCTACACCCTACACCACTGGAGAAATTACACTGCTTAGCCAGTATTGCACCACCTGACATCCGTCGGGAAGTAGCAGCCAATATTTATTTATTTATTTACGACATTTCTATGCCGCCCTTCTCACCCTGAAGGGGACTCAGAGCGGCTTACAAGATATATATGCATACAATATATTATATTATTAGCATTTCTGTGTACGAACCCACACAATCTCTTTGATCATCTGGAGAGGTCCTGCTCATGCTCCCACCTCCTTCGCAGGCGCGATTGGTGGGGACGAGGGAGAGGGCCTTCTCGGTGGTGGCCCCTCGACTCTGGAACTCACTTCCCAAGGACATCAGGCATGCCCAAACTCTGGCAGTCTTTAGGAGGAGCCTGAAAACATGGTTATTCCAGTGTGCCTTCCCAGAATAAGGAAACTCCCAGCAATATGCCCTCAAAATGCACTTTACCACTGATTTAGGACTGACTGTGTTCCCTCAATTCTCTCTGAAAATCCTATCCCAGTTAAATCCTACCTTGTTCACATCAGCATTATTTTTTTAAAAAAAAATTAATCCATTACATTTGGCCCATCCATTTATCTTAAATGCTTGTATGTCACTGTTGATTGCTTATTGCTTATTTTTTGTTTATGTGATTTATATGAATTGTATTGTATTGATTGTTTTATTGATGTTTTGTTTATTGATGTATTGTGGGCTTGGCCTCATGTAAGCCGCAAGGAGTCCCTTGGGGAGATGGTGGCGGGGTATAAATAAAGTTTTATTATATTATTATTATTATTATTATTATTATTATTATTAGCATAGTACAATATCAGTATTGTATATTACCATATTGTACTATACCATTATATTGTAATATTATTACTAATATTAAATGTAGTATAAAATATATAATTATAATATCATACTATTATTATTAGTAGTATTATATGTATATACAATATATTATATTACATTGTGTTATATTATATTATATTATTATCATAGCACAGGAGACAAGGTGGAACTGTCTTCTGCCCCCCCCCCCCCCCCCCCCCCCCCCCCCCCCCCCCCCCCCCCCCCCGGAATGGACCAAGGAAGTGACATCTCTGGCCCATCCCCTGTTCAGGTATTAGTCAGCCAGCCAACACCTTAAATCAAGAAATAGTTTTCTAAGATCTACAGAGATACTCAGAGGAACACTTCAGCAAGCGAGAGTCCAAAAGTGGCAGGCTAAAATCCGGAACCTCAATTAGTGGCTGAGAGACTCCCCCCTGGGCGCACAGAAGACTGAGCGACTTGTAGAGTGCTGAATAGACTGCGCTCTGGCACCACGGGATACAGAGCCAACCTTAAGAAATGGAGCCACAAAGTGGAGTCCACGACATACGAGTGTGGAGAAGAGCAAACCACAGACCATCTATTGCAGTCTGAGCCCTGCCACATACACAATGGAGGACCTTCTTACAGCAACACCAGAGGCACTCCAAATGACCAGCTACTGGTCAAAGGATATTTAATAGAACGCCAAGTCTGCAAACCTTCTGGGTTTGTTTGTTTGTTTGCTTGTTTGCTTGCTTGCTTTTAAATAAATTACAACTTGGTTTGCCCCTGATATGATAAAATAAATCTAATAAAACTGTATTCAGCCAGGTCCATTTGGAACTAATTTCTAACAAATTGAAAGCTGTAGAAAGATGCTTTTTCAAGTTCTATTGGTTATAAAATAAAAATGCAGCAATTTAACCCTGGTCTAGTTCTGATATATTTTTTTAAAAAAACCAAACTTTCCTCATGTTTATGTGTACAGTCGATTGAGTTATAAAGGGATTCCATTTCATTTTTCATACAATCTGTTTTGCATAGAGTTTCTTGGGCTGCCCAAGCCAAAATTAGTTTAGATTTTAAATGTACATGCTAACAACATAGCCTTGGTAAATGATGCAGTGTATTTTTTAAATTGTTATTTTTAAAGTATTTTATTAATTTTTTAGAGTGGAGAAAGTATCATGGTTGAAGTGGCAGCTGGTCCATTTGAAAGCAGTGAAAAGGTAGGCATCTATTCTTTTCAAAAAATATGTTGTAAAATGGGAACAATAATGCATTTTCATGGCTGCTGTTACAATTAGCGTACATTATCCAGAATCCAAACAAAGTGCAGTACTTTGAAATCTTTTTATTTATTTTTTAGTGAGAGAATGGTAAGGGAATCTTTTAACTTCAGAATGCTTCACTTTGTCTGGATTATGCCCTACAATTATTTTTGGTGTAATATGCACACAGAATATAGCCATCTTTTTTTTTTCCCTTTACATTCCTTTCAAGTATTAAATGCTTGTTGACTTGGGTTTGATCCTAGAATGATGGAAACTTGGTGGAAGCGTCTGCTGAGCGGTCAGCTCCTCATGAGAAAGTAAGGACTGCATTTAAGATCATGTTCACTGGGTTTTGAATAGCATCCTCTGGAAAAGACTTCCCTTTGGGGAAAATTCTGGCTCTCCCTCTCTCCAAATTGATCGCTTCAGGGCCTGGATCTCAGCGTGACACTTTTAAACAGTCTAAAATCCAGTCTGACTTTCCTCACTTCACATGATGCATTTTTCTTAACGTTATTGTGCATAGTGTCCCGTCTGTCATATACATTGCATTGTTCTCTTGGGGTTTTACGCTTGGTCATACTATACTTAGCATCTTGGTTCCTGTTTCCTTACTTCAGGTCCTTCATGCATCTAAACATCTGCATAAATTAGACAAGCAAATAGTTGTGATAACAATTAATCTCTGTTGTGTGTAAATATTCTTTGGGTTGGACTTATGTGGGAATCTGAAAACACTGTTTTGCAGTTGCCAGTGGTAATCAAAGTGCCTAGGCTGGGATTCTCAGCAGCGAAGTTGTGTTTTTCACCATTTTCATTACTCGGATTTGGGGATATTGTTGTGCCAGGTAAGTTATCATCTAGTCTTGTGGATTGTATATAGAGAATTATACATTTTACACATCCTACCCTGAAAGTTGACATACAATTACGAACCTTTACCACATGTAACACAGATCAAGTTATTTACCTAATGCAATGTCCTTGTGAACTCCTTTATGTAGGGATGAGAAACAGACCTCTAAAAGTTAGAATCCTTGAACACCGCTCACGCATTAAAAATAAAGCTGGAGATTATTATTATTATTATTACATCTATTATTTTACTCTGTTATTACTACATTTATTATTTTACTCTATTATTATTGCATTTACATTATTTTACTCCATTATAATTTTTCTCTATTGTTATTATTACATTTATTATTTTACTCTATTATTACTGTTATTACAACATTTCCATTATGAGAGAAGCCTCCCACAAGGATGATAAAACATCAAATCATCCGGGCGTCCCGTGGGCAACGTCCTTGCAGACGGCCAGTTCTCTCACACCAGAAGCGACTTGCAGTTTCTCAGGTCGCTCCTGACACGAAATTATTTTACTCTATTATTATTGGATGCGTAAGCACATTTACATTAAAGAAGGTTATGATAATGATTTACTCAGTTGAACAGTATTATCTAAAATTACAGTTGTATGTAAATATTCAAGAACATTTAACCTATTGATGCCTCGATTAATGTAATTTTATTGGTATCGATTTTTATTTTGAAATTTACCAGTAGCTGTTGCATTTCCCATCCTCGGCTTATACTCAAGTCAATATATGGTAACATTACGTGCCTCGGCTTATATTCGGGTCAGCTTATACTTGATTATATACGGTACTGCTTACTTCTTTGTGAATATGAACTAGTATGAATAATTTCCAGTGTCTTCATTCTCTTCCTATCAGATATTATTTTTCCAACTGTCTTTTATTTATTTTTTTAGGCCTCCTGATTGCTTATTGTTACCGGTTTGATGTTCAGACCAGCTCCTCTGTGTATTTCATTTCCTCTGTTATAGGTAAGCAACTTTATAATACTGTACAATATGTTGTGTTGATCAACAGTTGCAGTTGCTCTCAGTGTGTCAAAGTCCATTCCAAGGTGCTTTAGGCTAAATTCAGCCCCATTGCCCTTCTGGCACAAGGCAAAGACTTTTGTGAATGCAAGTTTTTGTCAACTTGCAGGTTCCAAGGGAGGGACTTTTGTGCTTGTGTGTGTGCCTGTGGACATCGTATTCCACCTTCCCTTGCTACGCGTACACATTATCTTTAATTCTGTTCTTTTAATAATTTTTATTTATTGTGGTTTAATGTTATAGCTCACTGTGTTTATAGTTATACCCAGTTGTAAATTAACATTAATCCCTGTATTGGGAGAAAGGCACAATGAAAATGCGTAAATCCATATAATAGCTGATACTGGTAATTTTCTGATTCATAAGCTGCCTTGAGCCCTCGCATTGAGGGAAAGGTGGGGTATAAATTAACAGATGGAGAAATGTGCCTGCAATTTACACCATGAAAAGATATACAGATCAGCAGCTCTTTTTACAATGTTTTCCTTTATTTTCAGCTTATTCAGCAGGCATGTTGATCACATTTGTGAGTCTTGTGCTAATGCAGAAGGCACAACCTGCACTCCTCTATTTAGTGCCATGCACACTTATTACCAGCACGCTAGTGGCTTTGTATCGCAAAGAGATTAAAAAGTTCTGGAATGGCAATAGCTATCAGGTAGGTAAATGCATATGGGTCAGTATGAGCTTATAATTTCCTCTAGATAATCTGTCTAATTGAGTTATAATGTAGAAAGAAAGTATGTTGTTGAAGACTTTCATGGCCAGAATCACCTGGCTGCTGTGAATTTTCCTAGCCATGTTCCAGAAGCATTCTCTCCTGACTTTTCACCCACATCTATGGCAGGCATCCTCAGAGGTTGTGAGGGATATTGGAAACTAAGCAAGGAAGGTTTATATATCTTTGGAAGGTCCAGGGTTGAGAAAGAACTCTTGTCTGATTGAGGCAAGTGTGAATGTTGCAGTTAATCGCCTTGATTAGCATCAGAAGGTCTTGCAGCTCAAGGTCTGACTGATTCCTGCCTGGGGGGATCCTTTGTTGGGAGGTGTTAGCTGCCCTGATTGTTTCATGTCTGTATTTCCCCTGTTTTTTAGTGTTGTTCTTTATTTACTGTCCCGATTTTAGAATTGTTTTTAATACTGGTAGCCAGATTTGGTTTATTTTCATGGTTTCCTCCTTTCTGTTGAAATTGTCCACATGCTTGTGGATTTCAATGGCTTTTCTGTGTAGCTTAACATGGTAGTTGTGAGAGTGGTCCAACATTTCTGTCTTCTCAAATAATATGCTGTGTCCAGGTTAGTTCATCAAGTCCTCTGCTATGGCTAACTTCTCTGAAAACAGGGGAGCTCCAGACATGAAACAGGGCCAGCTAACACCTTCCAACAAATGATTCCCCCACAGGCAGGAATTGGCCAGGCCTTGAGCTGCAAGTCTTTTCAATGCTAATTAGGGTGATTAACTGCAACATTCACACTTGCCTCCAACAGACAAGAGTTCTTTCTCCCACCCTGGATCTTCCACAGATATATAAACCTCCGTTGCCTAGTTTCAAACAGACCTCACCACTTCTGAGGATACTTGCCATAGATGTGGGCAAAACGTCAGGAAAGAATGCTTCTGGAACATGGCCATACAGCCCAGAAAACTCACAGCAACCCAGAGTCTTCAGTTAATTACAGACTGTTGATGTAGATAAATTGCAAAGATCTGTCTTCTGGAGGCTTGAGTTCTGGTTGATGGGCTTTGTATAGTTAAGTATGGCAACCAACAAAGAGCAGTGGCCAGTACCCACTTTCTGCCTACTGTGGCATTTGTATGAACTCAGATTCCCAGACTGTGGGAGGCATGGAAGTGGCAGATAATGCCTTTTTTCAGCAAGTACCCAAACTTGAAATATTTTGGTTCTGAATGATGTTTTTGCCTTTACCTTATTTGGTATGGAAGCTTGCTCCAAATACCTGAATCTGAATTCTTCATTAACAAAAGACCACTCATAACTCGAATAACAAGCTTCATTATTTAGAAGAAGGACTTATGTTGCCATAGTAATTGTTTCATATGCCTTTCTTGGCTAGCTCCTTTTATTTGAAGGATTAAATTTGCTCTGAACCTTGGACCTTTGTATCAGCTTAACTTTGTATGGAATGAAAATTCAAACTTATAATTTGGAAATATGCAATGAAGCTACTGTACATGGATAAAAGCTTTATGATGGTGCGATGCAAAAAGCTTCAAGAATTGTTTGTGAGGTATATACCGTACATACTGGAGTATAAGCTGAGTTTTTCACCTCTTTTTTTAGGCTGAAAAAGCCCCCCTTGCCTTATACTCGAGTCAAAGTTATTTATTATTTTACTCTGTTATTATTATCATTTATATTACATTTATTATTTTACTCTATTTATTACTGTTATTATTACTATTATTATACCCTATTTGTTATTATTCTTAAATTTATTATTTTACTCTATAAATATTATTATTACATTTATTATTTTAATTTATTGTTATTATTACATTTACATTATTTTACTCTATTTATCATTCTTATTACTTTTATTATTTTACTCTATTATTGTTATTACATTTATTATTTACTTTATTATCCTTGTTATTATTACATTTATTATTTTACTCTATTATTAGAACGATACGTAAGCACATTTCCATTGAAGAAGGCTAGAATAATGGTTTAACCAAACTTGGACAGTTTTATCTTACCTTCTGATGCCTCCATTAATGTAATGTTATTGGTATCTATTTTTATTTTGAAATTTACCAGTGGCTACTGCATTTCCCACCCTTAGCTTGTATTTGAGTTAATAAGTTTTCCCAGTTTTTTGTGGTAAAATTAGGTGCCTCGGTTTATATTTGGGTTGGCTTATACTCCAGTATATATGGTTCTTTAGCTTTTGGCTCAGCATTTCATAATTTCAATCTATTATTATTATTATTATTATTATTATTAAACTTTATTTGTACCCCGCTAGCATCTCCCGAAGGATTCGATGCGGCTTACACAGGCCGAGGCCTCAACACACAACATAACAATACAATCTAAGCAAATCAAACAATTAAAAACAGAATAAAGCAAAATAAACAACAGGCACAATACACTAAACACAATAAAACTGGGCCGGGCCAGAGCAATGGGTACAAGATTAAAAGTGCTGATGTGACAGGAGGTGTATATAGGGCTTCCAGGGCAAGTGCGATGTGCGATGTGCAGCAATCATTGGTTCTGATAAAGTGCTTATGGGACTTGGTGGTGGAGATTTCCTAATCTGGGAAGGCGCATCGGAAAAGCCAGGTCTTCAAGTTCTTTCTGAAGGCAGCCAATGTAGGGGCCTGTCTAAGGTCTTTGGGGAGGGTGTTCCAGAGTCGGGGGGCCACCACGGAAAAGGCCCTGTCCCGCGTCCCCACCAAGCGCGCTTGCGACGCCGGTGGGATCACGAGCAGGGCCTCTCCAGATGACCGAAGAGAACGTGTGGGTTCGTAGATGGAGATGCGGTCACGCAGGTAGGCTGGTCCCAAACCGTTCAGGGCTTTGTAGGTAAGCACCTGCACCTTGAATTGGGCTCGGAAAATAAACGGCAGCCAGTGGAGCTCCTTAAACAGGAGGGTTGACCTCTCTCTGTAAGGGGCCCCAGTTAACATCCTGGCTGCTGATCGTTGGAAGTTGGAGCTTCCGAGCCATCTTCATAATAATCTACATAATAACAACAAACTTGCACTATGTTGTGAAATTTGAGACATCTTTGTATACAAACACACATACGCACATTCCCATTAATGTCTTTCTGTTGAATGTATTTGAAATGTGTTGGCCACCTTAAAAACTTGCGCTTTAAAAGTGAAATATGGAAACTCTATCCAGAATATGATGGTTTCATGACACTGGATCTTAATTTGCTGTTAACATTTTGTGTCATTTCTTCATCCCTGGCAGCAGCACAGCTAAACCTCAAATTATTTTGCATGTTCCCCACAGCACTGGATTATAGCCCAAATGTGCTGTGTAAAATAAGAATAAATACTCATGCGATGCAGCAGCTTTGCAGAAACAGCTCGCTTATTTGTTTTGTACAGCTCTCATTTCATATTAAAACCAAAACGAGTGTATCTCGGCAAGGCATTTAAATCCAAAAGGATGGACTTCTTTTTTAGCTAGGCATTATAAACAGTTGTTTACAGTTTCTCCCATCACGTTATGGGGCCTTGGGATTTCTAGAGTAGACACCTCTAAGAATATAGGAGCCTCCGGTGGCGCAGTGGGTTAAACCCCTGTGCCGGCAGGACTGAAGACCGACAGGTCACAGGTTCAAATCCGGGAGAGGCGGATGAGCTCCCTCTATCAGCTCCAGCTCCTCATGCGGGGACATGAGAGAAGCCTCCCACAAGGATGATAAAAACATCAAATCATCCGGGCATCCCCTGGGCAACGTCCTTGCAGACGGCCAATTCTCTCACACCAGAAGCGACTTGCAGTTTCTCAAGTCATTCCTGACACAACAAAAAAAAAACCTCTAAGAATTTGGGAATCCTTGAGTGTGATTCTGTAACCAGTACCCAGTGGAGGTCGGCTATAGTGACATGCTGAAAAACCTAGAAATTCCTAGAAAAATTATTTAGCAATTTCTTTATTCCCAGTTTTGGCACCTGTGCCCATAACCCCATTCAATGTGGAGGCTGAATGTATGAAGAAAAAATAAGTAACACATTTCCTCCTAAACATTCTTAGGAATGTATTGTCGAAGGCTTTCATGGCTGGAATCACTGGGTTGTTGTAGGTTTTCCGGGCTATATGGCCATGTTCTAGAAGCATTCCCTCCTGACGTTTCGCCTGCATCTATGGCAAGTATCCTCAGATGCCATTCTGAGGATGCTTGCCATAGATGCAGGCAAAACGTCAGGAGAGAATGCTTCTAGAACATGGCCATATAGCCCGAAAAACCTACAACAACCTATTCTTAGAAATATCATCATCAGGAAACCCTTGATCTTTGGACCCATGTACAATTAGGAATGTGTAAAATGGCAGAAATCTGTCTTCTTTTCATTCTGTTTTTTTGTTCCTCATCCCCTCATTCTGTTTTTGGGATGATTCCCAGGAGATTAGGAGAGGGGCCATTCGGATTCGTAATTCAGGATCGTTCTCAAAATTCGAAATGAAAACAGAAGAGATTTCAACCATTTCATACACTCCTAACAATTAGTTGCTTCTAAGACATGATTGGGGTCCTCTGGTGGCACAGCGGGTTAAACCGCTGAGCTGCTGAACTTGCTGACTGAAAATTCAGCAGTTCGAATCCAGGGAGTGGGATAAGCTCCCGCTGTTAGGTTCAGCTTCTGCCAAACTAGCAGTTCAAAAACATGCAAATGTGAGTCGATCAATAGTTCGATCAACCCAGCGGGAAGGTAACAGCGCTCCTTGGAGTCATGCTTGCCATATGAACTTGGAGGCGTCTACCAACAAAGCCAACTCTTCAGCTTAGAAATGGAAATGAGGACCACCTCCCAGAGTCGGACACAACTAAACTTAATGTAAGGGGAAACCTTTACCTTTAAGACATGGTAAATTTCAGTGTTTCTTCAGCTAAGAAATGGAGATGAGCACCAACCTCCAGAGCTGGACACGACTGGACTTAATGTCAGGG